TCCAAACCCCATCCTCAAGGTGGGCCCTGGTGATCTTAATGGGCCAGGCCTGCGCGAGGGGTGAATCGCGCAGGGCCAGAAGGACTGTCCTCGAGTATGTTAATATGTCCACGATCAAAAGCAGGAAGGAAGGGGGGGAGGGCAAAGATGTTCAGTCTCGGCCGCACCCAAGAGTCTGGCCTCGGGAATAGTTCTTGATAGCCAGTGTCTTTTTTACCCTGTTATCATTTTTGATGACTCTAAATTGTTTTGAGATTAGTGGTGTACTTTTTTGTTTTCTATAATTATTTATTTAGCAAAATGACATTGGCAGGTTATAAGAATAGTAACAAACCATATTACAATGGAAAACATTAAATATAAATAAAACAAAAATAAAAAATAAATATGAAATATGAAATATGAATAGAACATAGCACAACTAGATTAACAAAGTATGTGTTCAGTTATATTATACATATTAAATCTGAATTTTAGGGAATTATTCGATTCATTCTGAACAACAATAAGGCCCAGATAGTATGACAAAAGTATTAGAAAAACAACCATGAATTAAATGTATGAAAACATTGCAATAAAATACAGACTAAATCTTATTCCAGAGAAATAAATCTGTTTCAAATCTGTTCAACAACAGCAAATCCTTTCAAGAATTTTGTGGGATCAATATGTAGACAAACTCTGATTAACAAATGAATCTTTTCAGTGTAGAATGATTTAATTAGCAACTCACCCTTAAATGATTGTTTTTCATGATCTGAGTCTAGATGAATTGGAGGAACAAGATAGGAAACTTGACCATGATGTACTTGCCCTGTTGACAAACAGAACACATTAATTTCTAGCCCTTCTATTCATATTGGCAGTCTTAATTCACCCCACCAAAGTAATCTAATTACATTCAAATTACGTAATATTAAAGTTTATTATTAAAGGGGCTAATACAGGTAATGTAATTGACCCATGAATCTGAAAGCAAGAATAGGCCAGGAAGTAATGTGCTAAAAAAGGGGGAAAAAACAGCAAGGGAAAGAAGGTTAATGCTGTGTTATGAGTTGGGATTAAAGCTCGATTCTGAATATCGTAATAGTGACAAATTACACTGCTAACAAATTTCCCAGTTCTTATGGTAGCCATACAAATAAAGGTTTACTTCACAATATAACTTTATATTTTACATAAAACAATTAAGTTCCACATTTGGTTCCTACAAATCAAGGATAATGGATGCAAAATCATGGCTTGGCATAAGTGTAAAAGAAGTTGGTGTGGGGATGGTTAATGTTTGAACTCCCTTAAACATTTAATTTATTCAATAGTTTGAAGCAAAAGTATTTATTTTTTATGTCCCAAATCATTTTTAAGAACACTGATAAACAGATCAGTTCTTGATTGTTAAAATATTTTGCCACATAATGAGTTACATATGATTAATATACATAAAACATTAATAAATGTTTTTATATTATTTCGTTCTGCCCATTGTTTGCAGATTTAGTTGCCGCAGTAATACTCTAATAAACTTAAATCATGCTCATTATTTATAATATAAATTCATATTATAAATGTGTTTGTACAACTCTCAGAATTACCATCAATATTCTGGTTTCAATCATTTTATTTATTTTGTTTGGAAGCAATGCACTCATCATCTTATAACTTTATAAAGTCATTCCCTGATTAATAATCTTTTTAAATATACACATTCCTATATATCTATTTGAACGTTTTCCTGTTACCATCTTTATTTTGTTCCCATTGAGTATAGCAATTTAAAAACACTTTATACAAAAACAGTTTAATAAATGCTATTTATCTTATTATAAATGTTTATAGAATTTCTTTGAAAATATTCAAAAATGTAATAGAGGCTAATAATGACCTTTCTTCTTTATATGTACTGTAAGTAACAAAAGGAGTAAATGGCGGAAGACCTAGAGATCAGATAGACATGAGCAGGAACAAAGAGTTAGAATGAAAATTCACTGCATGTGAGTTGGGCAGCTATATAAATTTGTTTTATAAACAAACAAACAAACAAATAAACAGGCAGTTAAGCAAATAGGCAACTCCAGAAACCAGGTATGAAAGCTTACCACTTTGGGGTGATGGGATTCTTTTAACCCAGGGGTGTCAAACTTGCAACGTCATGTGACGTGTCATGACGTATCATGATTTTTTTCCATTGCCGGCAATGGGGTGGGTGTGGTTTCGGCATGATGCATCTGGCCCATGGGCCAGCAGTTTGACACCCCTGTTTTAGCCTGTGAATTTCCAAAATATAGCACAACAACATATATCTGTGATAGAAATAAATGATTAACATCCTCCTCATTCAACCAATATTCTGTTAGAGGATCAAAGGCAAAAGAGAGTTGAGTCCTCACTTTAATGTAGTCACCAGTAATGAAGACCATATAAATATCCATATATGTCCATTTTCCAAGGTTCTGTAACTTAAATTCTATTTTTTTCTATATATCCAGTGGTTGGAAACTTCAGGGATGAGATAGCATTATCCCTCTGCTAGCAATTATTCTTCAGTTACAGAGAATGAGAGTTCAGGGGAAAGAATTAGTTACTTGAAGAGATTGAGAATGAAATACAATGCTTGCAGTTGAACCTGCATCCTCTCAAAATGAAGATATGCTTCTACAATCACAAGACACATAGCGATGGGCAAACTGATCATGAAAAGTACAGGTATGAGTTTGTATACTGTATACTGTATACAGAATCAGTATAAGTACAGTACATTGCACAATGACTTGCCAATTTGCACCAGCTGGGCATATCACAGATTTTCTAGATCAGGGGTGACAAACTGCCAGCCCGCGGGCCGGTTATATCTTACGGAGGCCGCACCCATCCCAGCTCTGGCAATGCAAAAAAAGTTGTGATATGTTGTGACATGTCACGTGATGCGGGGAGTTTGACACCTGTGCTCTAGATAGACAGATAATAACAAATGGAATTAATAACTGTGGTGCATCCCAGTGCTAATGACATGGAAATTATTTCATGACATTAATTTACCAAATGGAACCTAAATATAATTTCCCTGATAGGAGACCAGGACTTTCAAGAAAATCTTCTTGAAAATTTTCTCATTATGAACTAGAAAAATAACTTGGCTCCTAGAGTTTTCAAGAGGTATAAGACTGTGAAATAGAATAAAAAGTAAACATAATATTCAAATTCACTAGGCGCTTTGGGAACAGTTTGGGAAAAATCAGAGAACCAAGGGCAAATCAGGCTGCTGACCTTTAGCAACAAAGGAGAAAGTTGTTGACTTTCCAATTACAGATGCAAGTAAAAATGCAGGAGTCCACTCTTCAGGATCATTTCAAACTGTAGTCCTTGGAGACACTATCTTAGTTCCTTTAACCCTGCACATATAATTAGGCTGCTGACAGCAATATTCCTCCTTAATACTTCTCTCCACATTGTCTTTCCATATGGTCACGGTATCTGTCTTATCCTCTTTTATTGGTTGGCAACAGTTAGTTCAATTATGGAATATGGAGACCAAGCCCTCCATGGTAAGTAGGTAAAGCACAGTGAAAGAGTATGAATATGACAGCTAATCAAGAAGGGCACAAGGAACAATGCATAAACCAAAGAGGTGGAGAAAAATAAAGAGCGCTTTTAAGCAAATATTAGATACCTCCAAAGCATGAACAGGGCGCTGGAATCCTTGATTCAAAAGAAAGCATACTGAAAGCTTGATGGAATGAAAAGATCTAGTAGAATACAGTCATCTCTGAATATAAACTCCAGAAGAAGGATTAGAAAAAAACAGCTGCATGATACATATCTTCCATATATCAAGTAAACTAGGAAATAGGCCAGATTCTACAGAATAACTCTGGAGGACAATTTCAACATGCCTTCCCACAATAATTTAGTGCTAGGCACAAGCTACTATTTATTAAGCCAAAATGCTCAGGGTCATCTTGAGAAGAAAAATGAATTATTATCTTTGTGGTGGAAGATGCAGGGCAAAATTGGTATTATCAGCAAAGCAAACTAAATAGTGAGGATGTGATGTCAATAAATAGAGTTCTAAACATTCCTGTCAAATAGAAAACCAGTAAATAATTGGTCTAGGAAGTATTCTTAAATAACTTGAATGTGAAATTGCTGAGCTTCAGTGAAACAATGTGATAGATATGGTCTTAGGGAACGTTACATAATTCTAGAGGAATACAACATGTCTAATATAATTTCAGTTTTTACAATAGGATACTACGAGGTCTAGGTAACTGCAGCCCTGTTAAATATTCCCAGAATTTGAAAATGAAATATTGGAATGGACTGACTTTCTGCATCTAAAAGCCTATTGATCACTAGGAATAAAGATGTAGAGACATTAGCAGAGATAATCTGTACTAGTTTTTTTTATAAAATTTTATTGATTTTTTAATTTTTACAAATCATAAGTGCTTAATAAACGTGTTGTCTGAGTTCATTTTTTACTTAACAATACATATTAAAATTATTTTATATCTTCCTTTTCTTTGTTCTTCAATATTGTTCTTAGTTTCTGCACATTCTGACATTTTCTTAATCCTCTCTTCTTCAAGTGATGTTTCTTCACTTTTCAAACACTAAACAAATGCAATTCTTTCTATTATTAATACATATAACACACATACAACATTAAATATATGTTTCATCATATTTTTCTAATATTGTATCTATTAACATTGCTTCTAAATTATAGCATCTCTTCTATCCAATTTGTAACTCAATTTTATTTGCAATTACTGTCACCTTATTAGACCAATACCCTGTTTTCCCAGCTCCTGTTTCCATTTTGTTTTCCCTTCAGTATTCAAAATATCTTTATACATTATGATTTTTTCAACAGTAGATATATTTAGGTGAGTAAAAACTTCCCTTGTTAAAAACCATCCTGTTATTTTCATTTTTCTCATCTCATAGAAAAATACATCATACTAAGTATAAATCATATCTTTCTAAATATAGTATTTTAATATCTAAAAGTTATCTGTTCCTAGCCATATTCAAACACCTGTTTGGTAATATGAGGCCCCAACCAATCGATCAAGTCCTCTATTTTCTTTAGTCTAACTCTAGCTTTCTTTCTTTGCCAGATAGGCTTCCAAAACCTTGTAGTTAAATCATCAAAGCATTTTTCCTCAATTTTTATGGGTGCTCTTTGTGATAGGAAAAGCCATTTGAGTAAGGCATTTCTGAGGGGGAGTTCAGCCCAGTTGTATTCATTGAAAAGCTCCCATTTTCCTCCTCCCTCAGCTTCTCTTTTCATTTGTTTCCCAGTTTCTTACGCTTCTTCTGAGGGCTCTATAGTCTGTTCTATAGAATCTTCTTCCTTATCTTCAAGTATATTCTAAGGTCTTGAGGGATGGTGTGTTCTTTCCATTTCCGATATTTTCTCTGGGTCTTCAGTATTTTTCTTTGTCTGTGTCAGTCTATAGTTTCCTTCCTTTATTTCCTGTCTTTGGATCATTTTTTCCTAACCTGTCCTCTATTTTCTGGGTTCCTTGTTCTTTCTTTGTAGTCATTTTCTGGGGATTCCCTAGTTTAGATTTTAAGTTAAGAACTTGCTCATTTATCTTATTCATGTTTTCTTTAGTTTCTTTGTGGTTTCTTCTTGAATCTTCTCTATGTAATTCAATTGTCTCTTGAATTGATTGCAATATAAGTTGCATTTCTTTCTGGAAATTATTAGTTCTTTCTCTCTGGTGTGTCATATTGTGGGCTTCAGAGACAGATACTTGGGGTGGTTTTTTACCACTTTTGGCTAGATGTGGAGCACTCATTTTTGTT